ATGGCTTAAGACAGTAAATATGTTTGCTTGCAAGGGTATAGCGATGTCAGGTCACCGTAGAGAGAAGACCCGGGTCAGGACCCGTCCTGGCGAACCCACTTGTACCTGAACCTGGTGCAAGTAGGTCTTAATTGTCCCAACAAGATGAACTTATAATAATAATAATAATAATAATAATAATATAATTAATAATAATATAATAATAACAATAATAATAATAATAATAATATAATAATAATAATATAATAATAATAATAATAATAATAATAATAATAGCAATAATAATAATAAATAATAATAATAATAATAATAATAATAATAATAATAATAATAATAATAAAAATAATAATAATAATAATAATAATATAATAATAATAATAATAATATATAATAATAATAATAATAATAATAATAATAATAATAACAATAGCAATAATAATAATAATAATAATAATAATAATAATAATAATAATAATAATAATAATAATGTCTATCGCTAAAAGTACATAATACATCAGTGATATACTATATAGAGCGCACTTTGATATGCAGAGCATTTCTTTGCAAATTAGGTCAATTTTGTCCCCAGGATGCGACCCCATCCCAGTTCACTAACACCCAGGTTCCTATTACACTGATAGGTGAGCAGGGACAGCAGGTGTCTTAAGGAAACACGTCCTGATGTTTCCACCCGTACCGGAGATCGGCTCCTGGACCACAGTGTGTGAATTGAGTGCGTTAGTGATCGAGCCACGGGACGACTTGAAGCACAGTGATACAGCACTTGAGAATGTGTACACAACACAGTCCCGTAAGAATGATGCTAGCACCAATAAGCACTTGGAGATGAACTAGCTACTGAGAGAACGTATTGATTTCTCTCTCTCTCTCTCTCTCTCTTTCATTCTTTTTCGGTCCTAGAGCCCAAATAAAAGTACTGCTAGTACTACTAGTACTACTATTAATACTACTATGACTGTTACTACTACTAGTACTATTAATATTAATGACAGTCATAACAACATCAATAATAATAATAATAATAATAATAAATAATAATAATAATAATAATAATAATAATAATAAGAAGAAGAAGAAGAAGAAGAAGAAGAAGAAGAAGAAGAAGAAGAAACAGAAGAAGAAATGTTGAATATCGCGTCAGGCTGACGATATTACCTCGTTAAATATCCTCATCACTTAACCTGATAAATATTTACCATCTTG